CCGCCTTCCCATTCCCGCTTCCCCTCAGCCTCCCGGCTGCCACATGGGCACTCCTGCTGTTGAAGGTTCTTTCAGTTCACTGAGCCCTCTGCCATTTTTATGGTCTGGCATTACCCATCCCTCACACAGAGGGGTGAAGTCTCCCTCTGGGTTTCATCCCAGCATGGCCTTCCTCCCCCACCCCCTAAAACCTTCATTTTTGCAGTTTCCCTTCTAGGCAGCACAAATTCTTTTGCCTCGGTCACACCAGTCAGAGCTCTCTGTCACCTGCTTTGCTGGCTCGGTTGGGAGCTTAGACATGCCATCCTCAGAAATATTCATCTGTTCCAAGATACTGGATTTTTCACTGAAAAAAAATTACATGTAATTTTCCCACGTTTACTGGTTTCTCTAGAGCAACCAGACACTGTCTGCTGATGGCTAAGGCCTACACTAAAGGCGTATTTGTGTACTTACTTTAGGAAGGGACGAGGCACCTAGACTGAGTTACTTTTCACCACTTGACTATACCCCTTTCCCCAAAGGGCCAACCAACTAACCCTTTCCTATTTCCATTCCTGACACTAGACTTTCTTTGGTCCATTAAAAAAACTAAAGAAAGAAGAGAAGGTAAGAGCACATTTAAGGATTTTGGAACTCATTCATTCAATAGATAGTTATTGAGCATATAGTCCCTGCCCCCAAGTAGCTTACAATGAGGGGGTGGTGGGTGACACAAGCAAGAAAACAGGGCATCACCTGCATAACGATGAAGGCTCTGGTAAGGTAATCTCAGTGGCCACTAAACACAAAGAATGTGCAGTAGGCACCTAGCCCAGAGCTGGAAACAAGGAATTTCCTCAGAGGAACGTCTCCATGAGAGACCAGCTTATAGAGACCAAACCAAAATCAACCAAACCCATTGCTGTCGAGTCGGTTCCAGCTCACAGCGACCCCATAGGACAGAGTAGAACTGCCCCATAGGGTTTCCAAGGACCGGCTGGTGGATTCAAACTGCTGAATCAAACTGGTGAATTCAAACTGTTGGTTAGCAGCCAACCTCTTAACAACTGTGCCACCAGAGCTCATAGAGACTACTAGGTGGTAAATACTAGGGAAAGAGGCAGAAGAGTATTCTAGGCAGGACGAGCAACATTTGGAGGGCTTTGTGTTTTGTTGAAAAGGAGGACATTTGAGTGTGGATTGGAGGGGACTGATCAGGAGACTGAACTAAGCTTCTGAATGAGCAAACCAGAATTCTGCTTCCTCTCCCACGCCCACTCAGCACCGAGCCTTCAAGATATTGGAGGATGAGGTACCTTCCACCTCACCTGGAGTCGGCTCAGCTGACGGGACAAAATAATGACTCCTCCAGCTGCCTCTGTTGAACAATGTACAAGCTTTCTGATAGGTCCACCCCAGCCCTGGCTCTTTGGCCTGGTGCTTCCTGCCATCTTGCTTGCCCTCCCTGGGTGTCCCGGTTCTCGTTTTTCTTTCCCCTTTACTTACCTGCAGCCCCAAGAGATTCAGTTCAAAGATGGCACTGTGCAGTTTCATCTCCTGCCTGGAGAATGCTTCTGCTGGCAAGAGGCCACTGGTGGGAGTAGAGGGGCCTCTCTCTGATAGGATTTGGGGGCAGGAAGGAAATCCTTCCATGTTTGCCTGACTGAATTAATGTCAGGATGGAGGGGCTTGCCCTCTGCTTTTGGAAGGAAAAATGTTGTTCAACACTTTTTGTTATGATTTTAGTTTGAGAAAGAGGAAAGTGTCTGAATAATTTTCCACAGCTGCAGGTTATTCTATGTGGGCAGCACATTCCCTCCCTGTGAGGCCCCGTTGAAGCATGCAGTCTCCATCCTGGCTGAAGGTTGGCCTGAACATGCTGTTCTTTAGCTGACTGGAAGGGAGGGTGTTGACTAAGCTGAGACACCTCCCTTCCTCCCAGAGGATGAAGGGACCAGCTCCCTAGAGTGGT